GGGTCTGCTTAAATTTTCAGGATGATTCTTCTGTATGATGTAACATTCCCCTTGAGATACTAGAACTCCAAATCACTGAGATAATCAATACATGGGAAACCTAGAGTGATTAATTCAAATCAGTAAAGCTGAATTTTCCTTCCATGCTTAATTACATATTTTATATATTATTAACCCAGCATTTACATAAGACTGTATTTAACTCAATTCTCTGGCAAATTGGGTTAATGTAGTTACAGGTACAGAACTTAAAGTATGTAAGTAACTTAACCATTCTCTTTTAATCAAATGTGTGTGCAAACAATCCATACTAAACTAATGAATTTCTTATTAAATTAAGCTACTGTAGTAGAAAACTATCATCAATGGTTATTGAAGCAATCCTTGTTCTGTGTTGTTTCAAACATCAAACAATCACCATGTTAGCATTAGATGAGTGTCATAAATCAATATGAATCTTAAAAGGCCCATGAAGTCAAACGAAATTCTTACACAACAGCCACCGAGACATAAGTGCATAGAAGATAAAAATCCATGTTTTGGTCTGGTAGCTTAAATGCATTACAAAACATATTTACTTTGTAAAAATGTTAAGCCTTTGAAAAGCTAGTCCCAGAACACTATATATATCAGCTAAGTTTTAAAAAAGTGACTCTACACCCAAGATTGATGTAGTTTTAAAAACTACCTGACCTGTCCCAGAGAGTCTGCCTTACACTGCTCTGTCACAGGGCCTGGCACTGATAATTTTAAAAGCTCCCCTGATGGTTCTAATATGCAGCAGGTACAGCACCACTACTTTAAACTAATTCTGCCTTTTGGCACAATAATTACTCCAAGGTTGATAAATATACTTTTTGTCTTTTAATGAGATTTTATTAAAACTCCTCAAGTTATTCCACAGCTAATGAGTGACTATTACATTGCAGGCAGTGTGTTTAGCAATGGAGAAAGATGGGTGTTATATATTTCCCTGCCTTCAAGAAGCTACCTATTAACTAGTTCGAGAGGACCATAAATAAGTAACTGTAATTAAATATGATAAGTGCTCTTGGGGTGTAAGCAAATACAGCATGCCTGGCAAACTTGCATGTCACCCTTGAGCAAGGGTCATGCTGCATCATTCCAATTTTAGTCTATGTCTTAGCAGGAGAGTCAGAAGTTCCAGTTTACCAAACATCCTAAAATCCAAGACAGATATTCATCCTCCACAAGTCAAAAATTGTACATTGTGTGATCCTCTTTCCAAGACACTGCTTGTGCCAGAACAATGGTGGTTTTTATATTTTAATTTAAAACTATTATTTTAAACTTCTTTCATATACTATTGCTGGCTTTACATTTACCTATAACACTATAAATCTGCAAAAGGGACAGTTATGACATAAATTAGTCATTTACTTTTATTTGTGCAATACTTTTTATTTCCAGTAATTGCTACATTTGTTAGAACAAGAAGTTTGGGGACTAGATGGGTGTGTTGATACTATACAATTAATTCCAACATGTAGGAGGTAGAGGCAGGTAGGTATCTGTGAGCTTGAGGCCAGCCTGGTCTAGACATAGTAAGACCCTGTCTCAAAAACAAAAAGGGAAGTTTGGGACTATAACTGAATTTCCTTCAATAACTTGAAGGATGCCATATGAAAAATTTTATGGAAACAAGAGGCACTGGAGTGTCTGCAACTTTAAAAATAACAGAGGGAGTTTTAATTTTTTAAAAAAGAAATGGCATCTTCCCAATCTTTATAATTAAGGTACATGATTCTTTCAAAGATAGCTTTAGCAAAAGTAAAGGTTGCAACTACAAAGAAAATATATTCCAAATAGCATCTCCCTTCAAACCTCCTTAACCTCAAGTCATGTTCTTAAGCAAAAAAAGACATCTGGGGGGGGGGGTGTCTAAATTACATTGGAATTAAAGCCAAGTGTGGCAGCACACACCTTTAATCCCAGCACTCAGAAGATCTATGAGTTCAAGTGGAGCCTGATCTACATGACAAGCTCCATACCAGCCAGGGCTACTTTAGTGAGACCCTATCTCAACAAACAGATAGATAGATAGATAGATAGATAGATAGATAGATAGATAGATAGATAGATAGATAGATAGATAGATAGATAAATACACTGGAAATTTCCTTTACACCACCAGCTCATAGAGGATGGGTGAGTAGGTGGATGCTTAGGCAGAGGAATGAGTGGGTGGCCAATATGTCTTGAAAACTGCAATCTATTTTAAAGAGCCTTAGTGACAATTTAAAACTATTAAGACATTGTGGTGTAAACACAATTTGTGATACAAATTTGACACAAAAGAAAACCAAAATTCTGCAGAGTCTGTATAGAAATCAACAAAAAGATTTTCAGATGAATGATGATCTGCAAGGCCTTTCTGTTTAAGCTCATAATTGAACAAATTCTTAGTTTAAATGTATGTTGTCTAGGTTCCTGCAAAAAAAAAAAAAAAATCTCAAACGAATTTCAATTTCAGGATCAATATACACTGACACGATTTAGTGAAGAGACCTTCTACCTTTGCGGAGAAACACCATTATTACATTCTTTAACACTGAGACTATCTTGAATTCATTATTTCAAGAAAGGGCATTTTACAAACGACACCAAGTCAGATTTTGTAGAATAGGGATGAAATTTCACAGTTCACAGAAGTGCAGGCAGCCACTGACTACCTAGCATCTCAAAATTAGCTTGTTCTTTCTTCCTCCTTATGCAGCTGCAAAACAACAGAATACACTTAATTCTACCAGGGGTGTTGTCTGAAAATATGCTATCAAATTTAAGTCAGCACATAAAGACTGCTAACATGAGGCTGGCCACTTTTAAAATCCAAAGGGATCACACTGTCATTCTTTTAGATCTGAAGGAATCAGAAGCAGTCACCATAATCGATTCAATGATGGCTATTTTCCAATATCATAATATATGGAAGCATCTTAATTCCACATTTTCCAATTGCAGACTCACAACAGCCATAAGTAAGATACAACAAACATCACTCACTCACACATGGTCATTTGGGTGGTTTTAAGAAACATCTAATTTACCTTCTTTGTGTGCTCTCAACAATGAAGAAATGAAGGGGAATTGTTTCTTTGTATTTTTTTCTCTAGAAATGTGGTAGTTGACTGTGGCTAGTAAGCACTTGAAATGTGACTAATCCAAATGAGGCAAAAAATTTGCATTCTGCTTAATTGATTAAAATTTAGAAATAGTAAATTCCGTTACTGGAAAACTTTTATATATGTTTGCAACAACTTGAGTATGTGAATCTACTTTTGCACATGCAAATTTTATGAGACCTAAATACAGATCAAGTACTTCTGGTGAAAATTTAGCTTAGCGTCAAAATTGAGATGTGCTGTTAGTATAAAATACACACTGGATTTCAATGGCTTAGAATGAAAAATGCACACAGTACTGCAAAAGCAAATTTCATGTTGAAATCACTAATTTAGCTATAATATATTAAATAAATATTTTACTAAAAGTAATTGCACCTTTTTGTTTTAAATCTTTCGAATGCGGCTACTAGAAAATTATAAATTGCACGTGGCTCTCATTAAATAGCTTTGGGCAGCGCTGCTCTAGGGCACAACCACGACTCTACCAGACACATTTGGACATCTTCCTCCGAACAGACAGGCTGGTCATTGAACAATGGGGAAAGGAGTAATGCGTCCTCAAAGCATGTAGGTTTAAGAAAAGAGTGTAGCAAGCTCTACCCACAATTTTACCATGTGAGCAGCAATGTAATACCTCAATATGGAGGAAAAAAAATGAGTTATCAGTACTCAAAAAAAATTGAAACTGAGTATACTGCAGACAACTTAAAAGAGGTAGAGCCAACTGCTCTGTCTTGGTTTCATTTCCCAAATGTGGACCTTAAAATAGACAATAAAGCACCGCTTCCAAAAAGAGGTAAAATATTTCAATACTAGCTATCAAACGAGCCCCACTGAAGAAGCAAAAATCGCTCTTAAATCTTATCTCAACTTCCAAAGCCACAGAATACACACTGAGCTAGGAAATCAACTTCAAATTGCCAGCATTTCCCTCACAAGCAAATTAGCAGGATTGTGCACTTGGAATATTGTTTGACAAGAATGAAAAGGAAACAATTCAAAACAGATTTCAGGACCGGACAATTAGATGAGGAACTGCAGATTTAATTCTCAATCAGTACTGTGATTAATCTGATTCCCTGCTTTTCCCTAGTGTAATTATACAACACAGATGAAAGGATGAGCATTTGGACTGTCAGTTCTATATTCCAGACCAGCCCGGTGACTCAAAGCAGACGGCTCTACCATGCTAACCACCATCCCAACAACAGTGGAAGGGAGCCTTGAGCACTGACTGTACAGTCATTGCATAACGAGACATTAAAAATTTGGGTGTCCCTAACTCTTTCTATGTTCGTCTAAGGCAGGTGAAGAATTTGCTGAAACTGGACGCACCCGTCTTCAATGACCCTCTTAAATCCGGGCACGGGGTGAACACAAAGACATCTGTCTAATATCCTGGCACAATAGACACACACCCCACAATTAAAAATCCTGGACGCGCTCTCTCGCTCTCTCCACACACGCACACGAAATGCAGGCTGCTCTTTTCGTAAAAAGGTCTGTGGTACAGGAAAGGTAACAATAACCCCAACTGTTCCCAGGAAGCAACTATAAAATCGGTCTTGCCACGTCCCTGTGTAACCGTCAGATAAAATGCAGGGAGCCCGCCCCACGCCTTATGGGGTGGCCGACCCGGGCTCGTTGGCCTCCACGGGGTCGCTGAGAAGCCCCCAGACCCTCTCCTGGCAGGAGATCCAGGTACACGTCTATAAATACTCCAGGGTGAAGAGGACGAGGGAAGCAGAGGGGAGGGAAAGAGGGCAGGGGGCAGGCCCGGGGCGGGTGCGGGAGGCCCCGGGCATCGCTGAAATACATTTTTCCACACTCCCGCTCCCTCGCGTGGAGACTCACTTGCCGATCACCTCGCACAGCTCGTACACATCCTCGAACAGCACGTCGTCGTCGGCCATGGTCCGAAGGGGACAGTGGCCGCAGCGTGGAGGGTTCTGAAAACTGGGTTGGGGGCGCCCAAGAGCTCAGTGCCCGGGCTCCGGGCTCGCGTCCTCCCCACCGGACCCGCAAGCCCTCAGTGCTGAGAAAGCTCAACCGGGGCCGCGAGGCCCGGAGACTGCAGCGCCTTTCCTCTGCCGGCTGCCGCCCCGGCGCGGGCGGCGGGGCCGGGGCGTGGGAGCGAGGGCGGCCCGGGCCCGGCGCCGCCCGCCCGCCCGCTGCTCTTGGCGCTGTCGCTCGCCGCCGCGCTGCCGGGCGTGCGGACCCTCGGGGACCCGCGAGGCGCCGCACTCTCTGCTCGTCAGCCCGCGCGGGCCGCGAGGCCGCGACCGCTCCCTCTGCCCGAGACCGGCTCCGGCGCGGCGCGGGGCAGCTCGGGCTACAGGGGGGGCCGCGACAGCACCATGGAAGGAGGATCGTCGCGAAGGGAGGTGGTGGCGGCTGATCGGCGCTGGGGACCAGGAGGCGGCGGCAGAGACGCTCCCTCCTCCTTCTCCTCCTCCCGCCGCCGCCGCCGCCCGCCCGAGTGTGGGAGGGGGCTTCGCGGGATGAGTGTTCTGTGCGGGCGGGAGCGGCGGCCGCTGCCTCCAGCTCCTCCCCTAAGCTTCAGCTGCCGCCTGGCTCGCGAGCCCCGAGCACCCGCCTCGCGCAGACGAACCCTCCTCCCTTTCGGCCCGCGCGGCTGCTAGAGCCTCAGGCCCCGCCCACTCCAGCCCCTTGGGAGGCAGGGACCGCGGAAGGAGGCGGGGGATCGGGGGGGGGGAGGGCGGAAAGCGCTCCCCGTGGCGCATGCGCGCAGCTCCCGCAACGTCACGGAGAACCGGCGGGCGCGGGGAATCTAGAGGGCGCTGGGGGTCGGCTGGCGGAGCTCGGAGGGTTGCAGCTGCTGAGGTGGGGCTGGTGGAGGTCGTCGCCTCTATTCCCTAGCTGCGACCAAGTGGAGAAAGGGGACTGGGGACAAAAGGTCCACAGCAGTGTGCACGCTTTTTTTTTTGGGACAGCATACTCAGCACTCTGGCAGTTTTCCTCGTTCTTTCGTAACCTCGGGAAGCCGTTCCCAGTCTGGGGCTGGGAAAAACGCAGGGAAAGGGTTCTAATGAATGGAAAAGCCAGAGTGGAGGTGGAGAGAGACTGTCACTCAAGACGGCACTTGGCGGCGGTTGCTTTTAGTGCCACCCTGCCATTCCTTAATGAAGATGAGGGCTGGGGGGGGGAGGGGGAGAATTGTCCAAGGAAAGGACCAAACAAAAACTGCAGAGGAAGGTGTGCAAGAACGAACAGTGAACTCGAGAAATGGCTTTTCCTGCCGCCTGCCCCAAACTCACCAAATATCTATGCAGTGTCTATTCCTGCTAGACAAAATAGAGACGGGTCAGGAAGATAGTGACATACGGAGACTTTAAATCCATTGTATAATGTTCCCCAGCCCCGCATCTACTTTGTCTACTGTACTTCCTACAAATGTTGGAGTTCTCCGCATAAAAAACGCAACTAGAAGGAATGGCTGCACAGGGTCAGCCACGAAGTAAGGCTGTGGGTGTTGCCGCTGTGCTAGGTTGTATGCAATATGAAAATTTCTGTTCAACTGAGCATGTGCAGAATGAGCCAACGCCATGAGACAGGTATATGCCTTAGTTGAAGACCAATAAAAAAGAAGTCTTTGTTCCTCCACACAGCAGAAGTGTCCAATTAGTTCATAAGTCAGCTTTCCAGAAATCATCTGTTAAAACTCTCGGCGCGGTATTTTTTAAAGTACTATTTACCAAAGTGCAGGGGGCAGGGTGAAGACGCAGCCTGTTTCCCTTTCAGAAATGATCTGCACAAACCCTTGACTGCTTCCTCAAGAGGCTGGGAGACTTGCCTGTCAAATATTTGGTAGCTAAACCTCTTTCTTTTCTTCTTTTTTAAAAAGCGAATCAGGGGAAAATATAATTGCACATGGTTTTCCTCGTTTCCCAGAGATTTTGTGTTTTCTCTAAAGAACGAGCTTCAGCGCCCAAGAGACTTCGTGTTTGAGGGCACAGCAGTAACAAGTCACTTTTCCCAACCTATCATGTCTACCTGCCACCTAATGAATAAGGCATCACTCATTCTGCTCTGAAGCGCACATAAATCCTCACAAGTCACCTTGCCAGCTTAGCTTCCTTTCTCCAGCCCAAACATGAGCTATGCTAAGGCTTTGTTTTTGGAGTTTATCCACTTTATTTTGGAGTTTACCTTTCATGGAGCATTCTTCTCAGAAGCAGAAATGGATAATTAGAAAGCAGAAAGGGACTGTGCAGGTGGGGAAGCATAGGCATGGTCTCTGCTCTCAGACAGCTGGTTTAGAACTGAGAAGAGCCCTAGTGGCCACGGGGTCCAACTCCCTTATTTCCAGGAGTGGAGGGTGTATAGGTCGGTTGCTACCCCATACTACCAGTATTTGATAGCAGTTCTAGATTTGATGTGGGATCAGACTCAATCTTTGTCGGAGAGGTAGACAATAGATTCATTAAGTTAATCAATGCAGCCCCCCACCACAGGGGTTAGTCTAATCTTATCAGCTCTTGATACTTCCTGGTCAGTCCTTGCTAGAATGGCTCAGCACAAAGTTCAAAAGTTTCCCTCCAGCTAGGATTTACATGTCTGAGCTCCTAGAGAGTATTTAGTCACGCAGAAGGGTCTCAGTGGTCCACAGTTCCAAGACTTTGCATCACAGCTGATGGCAAGCAGAAGCTCCTCTCTGCTTCCAGGATGAAAATAACCAAATCTTTTAGATAAACTTATTTCAAAATCCAATACTTCCCCCCCAAATGTAAACAGTCAACTGTAAATAATTTAATTCCGTCTTAGTTAATGAAATGAAATGTAACTAGTTGTGTAAGTTAAAGCTAGATTTCATTTTGTTAATAACTGAATCTTAAAGTAACAGTCATTTAAACAAACAAGGGTGGCGACTTTCTCATTTATCAAGGAGCCTAGAGATATGTGGATACTGACATTGCATTCACTACTCCCTGGTTTCATCAGTGACCTACTTTGTTCTTTCCACTCTGCCATCCTTGATCATTTGCCTCTTTCCTTTAGCTTGTTTCATCATCTCAAGATGGATGCAACTGTTTCAAATATCAACAGTATGGCACAGGAAGGCAGAAAGGGCAGGTGAGGTCTTTTTACTCCATCTCATCTCTATTAAGGAAATAAAATACATTTTCTCTACTCACTTGTCCCTATCAGCGTCACCTAGCAGGCAGCCTCACTTGCAAGGGAGGCTAAGGACATAGGTGTTTTTGCCTTCTCTATGGAGGTAGATGGGAAGGAAGCAGGTGGAACAGACTCCAATGATCAATTAGCAATCAGTCTAGCATGGGAAAATTACTGTTTATTGTCATCATAATGTAGATATACCACTAGTATAAAACTGATAAGTCTGAAGTTTTTGGAACTCTCTAAAAGCCTCAAGGATGTTGTAGATGCTACATAAATTTGATTCTTAGACATCATTACAAATCTCTAATGATTTTGAGTGTTTGTTTGAATTTCTCAAAATTGGGATAGATGTTGCAGGTTGCTCAGCTCCCATATAATTTCAGGATTACACAGATATAGAAGGGAAAAACACATTCCAGGGAAATATTAGGATGAGGGCCACACAGAGGGTAGTGTGGCATAAGCTTAATTTAGTCAATTTAGAGATCAGCCTCATTCTTCAGTTTGATTGTTAAATCATATAAATTATTACTGAATTAATGAATAAAATTAAGATGAGCACTGTTATCAACTAGAATAAAGTTATTGCCTCATGGCATAAACAGGGTATTCTAAACTCACATGGAAGACACTATCCATTGTTTCTGTTAAAACCACGTGGATTACACAATATTTTATGGTACTTTGTTTGTTAGTCATTGGTTGAATGTTTAAACAAGCCAACAGGGCTAAAGTGACAAGCAAGGCTGGCATAATCCCTGTCTATTTTCAGTTGCACCCTAAAGGATCAGGCAAATAATTATGAGAAGTAATGGTCCTTAGGGTTTTGGAAGTTTGAGGTAGCCAATCTGAAGAGGGTCTATAGGCTAGGGAGATGACTTAATGATGAAATGTTTGCTGTGCAGGCATGAGGACATAAACTCAGATCTCACTGACCTGTCTAGTTGAAGCAGTGAGATTTGGACTTAGTTAGAGACCCTATCTCAAGAGATAAGTTAGAGGGATAGAGGGATACACTGCTTTCAGCCTCTGGCCTACTTATCTGCACAAATGAGAGACCACACGTGCACACATACACACACGACATCCATCCATCCATCCATCCATCCCTCCCTCCCTCCTCCCTCCATCCATCCCACAATTAACTATCAATATGTATGTATTGGTTGAGGAAGACCAAACTAAAGAGATGCTTACACCAAGACTGAAAAAGTATAGAAATTACCTTTTGGAAGGATTGGGGTATGTGGATAATCAACAGAGAGAATAACATTTATGGGGAAAAAAACCAAAACAAACAAACCACCACAACAACAAAAATGACAATGTTCTTTTGGAGACCTGAATCATACAGTGTAGGAAGAGAGAGGCCATAATATGTTAGAGAAATAGACAGGGGACAGATAGTAGATGTTAAATGCCCCATTAAAGAATTTACCTATTAAAATGCTTGGTTTCAGTGAACTGACTCTTCTGTGTCAGCTTTGGTCCCCTGGCCCTGTGCATGAATGGAGTGCTACAATTTAATGATTTTTTAAATTAGTGTTTTGTGTCTGTTGTTGTGTGTGCACACAGCAACACACACACACACACACACACACACACACACACACACACACACACATCAGAACAGATCTTAGGATCACCTAAAGCTGGAATTACAAGTGACTGTAAGCCACCCAGTGTATGTGTGCTGAGAACTTACTTCAAGGCCTCCAGAAGAACAGCAAATGCTCTTAACTGTCGAGCCATCCTCTCCAGCCCTGGAATTATGCTTTAAGTAGTTCTTCCTTTTTGTACTTGATGCACACTGTCTTCTCCCTCTATTACTTTATAAAATGTAGGAAACTCCTCTAATACATTATTTCAATCCTTTCTGATCCCACTTAGCATTTCTGAGTGCCCCACTCC